TAATTAGATTGGTAAGCATAGCTACGGCTGTTGTAGTTAGATTGATAACTCTAGTATCCGTGATGATAGTTAGATCCGTAACCGTATATAAAGTGATCTTAGATGTACCAGTAACCATTAGTACGATTAGCGCAATTGCATCGAAAAACCTAGGTACAATGATTGCAACTGTAGCAGCAACCATGGGTATAGTTATCGGTTTTCACCAGTGAAATGACCTACACCGTTGTATTTCTAGTCAATATCAATACTGTCCATATAGAACTACGAAAATTTGCGATGATAACCGGTTTCCGCTATTACTCAGACAACAGAAGACTGAATGCTTCCAGTAGTACTAATATGCCAGTCTCCATTATGGCCTTTTACAACCTTATCAGCTCGATTCTCTGTTTAACGCCAAAGTTCTGATCAATATTCCCCAAAATTAATTAGGACGAGGGATCACTTCTTCTAAGAAAATTAAGTATTCGAGTTACTGAGATGTACCGTATAGGAGAGACACCGAAATACAGAAAAGTGACCGGTGCACCGGTCCCACCGGCCCACCGTACCCCGGTGCACCGTCCACCGGTCTCACCGGTCCACCGGTTCACCGTTCACCGGTCTCACCGGTCCACCGGTTCACCGTTCACCGGTTTCACCGGTCCACCGGTTCACCGTACCGACCGGTGAACCGGTGGACGGTGAATCGATCGACCGGTGAGACCGGTGAACGGTGAATCGTCACCGGTGCATCCCTACTATGTATGTTGCATCATTTATTTTAATGATAATGCCTGGCAAAGTATCTTATTAATATACGAAACGTCGCTAGTTTATTGTTAATTTTACTACATCTTATTAATTAATTCAATAAAACGAAGAGAATATATCTATGTCAAACTCTTCTTTCATAGATCAAAAACTTTAAATAGATAAATAAATTCAATCATAAACCACTACCAATCGATTGAAACGAAGCCAATTCCCATATACTAAGATCCGTCATCACCGTTACATCTAAACCAATCTTATGCCATACAATACCAAAAAAAATATATATATAATATGACTCACACACATAATAGTATATATCAAAAACAATGTCAATATTAGAAAACTCTTTTCTTTATTAGATTATTATACGTACAAAAGAAAATGATGGAGCGTATTCATCATCTCACTTAAGTAGGATATACTAAATCCACTTGAAGATGACTGCTAAGCAAGGTCGAAACTAGTCACGGTAGCTTTATATCTTTGTATTTACCCACCTTTAAGATATCAAACTTCAATGTCTTAGAAAAATCTTAACATACCTGGATTGAAAGGATTTTTTACGTAATTCATAAACTTTTACTGTTTAATTTGTAAACTGAGTAAGAAGGGGAAAATTAGGGGTGTAAATTAAGTAAAATTTTTACATTGGATGTTTGATTGCTATGAGCAGCCATGCCCAAATTTATATTCTCTATCGTAGTGTTTTCGTACTCTTGATTTTCTAATTAGTTGATTGTTTGATCAATAAGATTTTTACGCTCGTCGTGATAATTCGTCCTGTTGTGATAGCTTCTCGTCGACATCAGCGTCATTGTTTATTTATATATAAGTTCTACTAGTAGAAGACTCATAAAGAATGCGAAAAAAATCTTTCTCAATATTGCATAATTCCTTTACATACTCGTTCGATAGATGAGTCATATATCATCCTCATTGTAAATTGAAAGAAAAAAAAGAAATGGATTTTGAAGCAATAACATTCGTAATATATTTCACAAGTATTACGCAATGTTCTTTGTTTTTCTTTCGTTTCACATAAATGTAATGCGCATTTCATCATTATTTTCTTGAATATGTCGCTAGAACCTCTTCCAACTTTTTTGACACTTCCTGTTGAACTTATCGATCGTATTCTTGATCTACTCGATACCGAAAGTATTCTATTTTCATTTAGTGGTGTCTCCAAACGATTTCATGCAATTGCTTATAATTATAGTCGATTAACCATCAACTTCACTGATAAATCATCAAAGGCTGATATTCAACGGATATGTCGAGCTATGCGACCGGAAAACGTCATTGCACTTACCCTGAAAAATTCATCGCGTCAGTCGAATATAATCAGACACTTTTTAAGCTCCGTCTATATTTATCAATTGACTCAACTTCGTTCGTTAACACTTTGTAACATCGAAGAATATGATTTGCAAACAATTATCAAATCTCTCACTACTTCCAAACTTGCGTCATTGTCACTCAGTGTGAGTGAGGCAAAACCATTAAGCACACACTCCATTGATCTTCTTTCAGCGATGGTTGCAATATCAAGTCTTCGTCGGCTCATTTTGGATATTGATAGTAGAATAAGTAATCATATATTGTGGCTAAATCAGCATCTAATATAAGAATTGAGTATTCAAAATTCTACTTTCGAACAACTGTGCATCATTCTTAATCAGTTACCAAATCTCCGAATTGTTGTGTTAAACAATTACATTATGTCTGACATCAATCAAGTTGTTCGACGAACTTCATACCAGCAATTGACTTCATTGACCTTAAATGGGATTCAAATGTCGATTGATGAGCTCGAATTCTTGCTATCTCTTTTCCCATCCCTTATTTATCTCAAATTTGAAACGAGATGGACTTGTTCATCGCATTTTGCACAACGTTTCTCTCAATGGGAGTATTTTATCGGAAAAAACCTACCACTACTCAAAAAATTCCATTTTTATATTTATATTCCATCGAATAAGGTTAAAAATCTTGAATCGTTTTTGGCTCCATTCTGTACATCATTCTGGCTCGAACTGAAATGTTGGTTTGTCACTGCTAGATATAGTGAAAGTGATATCTTTTCAAGGATTATTCTTCACTCCTCAACATACCCAACTCAAACGTTTCCTGATAATCTTAACAATAGAACAATATTATATTCGTTTACGACGACAAGAAATGATAATTCATCAAAGATAAACAACCAGTGGATCGCTCGCTTCGATTTATTGCATATGAAATCAATTATGGCAGATAAGGTATGTCTTTCCAAATGATGTGTAAAAATGATTTAGTTCAGTTGAAAAAGATGAAAGACAAAAAAGAGAGTTGATTCATATTGTTATTATTTTTATTTTTTCTTTTTAGTTTGAATGGCCCAATGAAAAAAATTTTGGTAAACTAACCCAGCTGGCGTTAGATATCAATGATCAACAACCATCTGATTTCCTCAAATGTCTTTCATCATTCATCGATCTTTCACATGTAAATGAAATCTGGCTGCTTGAAGATCATAGCCGTTTTCTTCAATTGGAAACAATCAAGAATTTATTGGAACAAACATCGAATATTCGTACACTCGGTATATGGAGTCATGGTGATTTCATATCAAGACTAGAGAATATATGCATTCTAGTATCTGGTAGAATTGATCACTTCAAAATACGATTGAGACAACTTCATTGGATGAAATTAGTTCTCACACGTATCAAACATGTGTCTACGGTTACAATTCAACATTATGAATCTTCATCAAACTCAATACCGGACATGATCAAATGGCTCAGTAGAAAAGGGAAAAAATTTTCTGTTGATGATATATATAAATCTATTCAAATCAAGTTTGACAAGGATGTCGACGAGTTATTAGAAGTTAAATCTAACCACAAACGTCTCAAACTGGTTCATCATCGACAAACTTCATAATCTATGGAATCCTGAACATTTTTCACTAATATTTATTATTGATAATATCGAATTTTATCTCATAAAATTCTCATGTAAAAATATGCTTTTGAATCTATGTCAACTATGTAAAAAAAACTTGTTCCATTTAAGAGCCACATTTTTTGGATAGTTTCAATGATGTGAGTTATATAATACTGAATCAATCTTAGAAGAAAGAAGATAGAAGTGATTAGCCGAGTCTAATCTATTTACAGTATTCATTTTCACTTTCAAAGCAACCAAAGATCAATGAATTCAGTTTTACAAAAAAACTTCACTTATTGCTATTATGAGATCCGTAAAATTACTATTTTCGACATTGCAAGTGCCAATAGACTCAGCAGAATTAATTACTCCTACCTTCTATATTTTCAGCACAATTTAACATCGTTTCATACCTAGACAAAAAGTTTACCATTCAAATTAGATAAACAAATCTATACATTAGAAATTGAGAATATAGGTTATTTCAGCTTACAAATCTACAACTAAAATGACCAAAAAAATCAGTTTTCTGAATTATCACATATTTTGTCATGAAGAATTTTTGTTTCGATTATCCTTGTTCACATTACGTCCAAGATAATTAGGCGTCAAAATGCTAGTCGGTAATAATACAGCCGGTCTTGCTCTCTTTTCATTCATGAAAAACATTTTCTTTTTTCATATAATTTGAGGATCTCATTGTCGTGGGCTGCAAACGAGAGACAGATTTTTAGGTTCTAAATAACATGTATATATTATCTATTGTCTAAGCATAATCGGTCGTTTTATTGCATAGATTCTGATATATTAGACTAATTTTACTTTGCAACAGATGAATGGAGAAAGGCTCAATTAATTTTGGTAGTTTTTCCTTTATTTAGTCTAAGTTTGTTATAATTGAGACTAATTATCATTCATTGAAGATGAAGTTTGCCTATCACTTGACTTGTTTTGCTCAAAGTGCACAGAAAATAATGG